CTTTGGCGTCGAGTCCCTTTTGGTGGCCACTGACTCCCAAATTTATACCATCTCCAACTGCCATTTGGTATCTCCATTTAGATGCTAATGGACATCTCAAATTTTAAAAGCCAAAACAGAATGCTTGATTCCCCCTTTTCTCTGCCCTAATATGCTCCTCCCCTAGTATTCCCAGCTGAGAAAATGCTACCACCCAGTTGCTCAAGCCAAATACCCAGGACTCCTCCTCCCAAGCCTTTCACCACTCACATGCGTTCCACCAGCTCCACCTTCAATGCCCACTGCTCTTTGGTCCAGATCACTCCTTACCACTTCAGGTCTTGTGCAGACACTTCTGAATGGCCTCCCAGTTTCCTTTTCATCTATTCACCAAACAGCAGCTTGAATGAAATTTTTAAAACATAATTCAGATCATATCATGCCCCTACTTAGAACTCTAATGTTGGCTCCCTGCTGTTTTCAGAATTTAATCCATGCCCCTTAATCTGTCATACAGGGCCCTAAGTGATCTGGCTCCCTACCTGCCTCCAAATGCATGCTGTACCACTCTCCAGCCGTTTGTTCTTGCCAGCTCATTTCCACCTCAGGTCTTTTGCACATTCTGTTGACTGTACCTGGAATAATCTTTCCCCAGGCTGTCTGTGGCTGGCTCCTTCCCATCTGACACAGGAAAATCTACCTTCACTCCACTTTCCAGTGTAAAATAGCACTCCACCAAGTTTGAGCCTGTTGCGTTTTCTTCACTATGTTTACTACTACCTGAAAATATTTCCTTTATTTTTAATCTTTGTGTTTACCTCTGTAACTTACCTAGAATATAAATTCCCCCAGAGCAGGAACTTCGTCTGTCTTGTGCAGTGCTGTGCCCCTAGCACCCTGGCACCTAACTGCTGCTAAGGAAATGCTTAAAGAAGAGTGAATGAAGCCGTAAAAATCTAGCACTATTTGGCTACTTTAAATGCTGCTGCTTCCTTGGTCTTAGGACTAAAAAGGGGAATACACTCAGTGATTTTGATGGAAAAAGCTCAAAATGCTTTTTTACATGCCTGTTTAAATGGGCCTTTCTAATGAGGGGCTTGCCACAGGTTGCACAGAGCTGGTCTGTCTATATATATATGTATGTCTTTCTAAAGCACTTTTTAAGGCCCTGAAATATGCAGCTTTAAAGCTCAAGAGTATGGACAGCCTCCTCTATTCCTCTTTTTATTTTCTTAAATTAGCTACTTACCCTTGTATTTTCCTGGTTGGGAAACCCATCCTTAAATATGGAGACTTCTGCTTCTCCATGGAAACAGCCACCAATGATTGAGTCAATCCCTTTGGAGAGCCACCAGTCCAGTTATGGCTAAGTTCTCCACCCTCAGCTGCTGGTGTGTTTTTAACCAAGCTTTTAGGTCCTCCCAGAGGACCATAAAATAGTCTCCAGTTTCTGGGTTTGTAGCATTGCTCATTAGATTATGAGTTACACCTGTCCTTTTTTCCATTCTCAGGAACTAGTCCTGTTCTTTTTAAGGAGCTACAAAGAGGCTTTAGTTGATTATTCAGGAAGCCCACCTCACCCCACCCATGAATCCAACCCAAAACCAGGGCTTAGAAACTACATTTTCTCAGCTGCCATGACTAATGCTTCTGTGAGGACACTGTGATGGGCAGCGGTAGGGTGGGAGGAGGGAAGAGGAAGGGTGCAGTATTTGGGAGACTGTGACTATTGTTTCCCATTTCTGCTGTATCTCTAGCAATACTGAATAGCTTAGTTGCCATACATAGGGAAAGCTTCGGAAGCCTTTATTTAACTACCTACTTTGGGGGCACCTGGGTGGCTCAGTCGATTAAGTATCTGCCTTCGGCTCAGGTCACGATCCCAGAGTCCTGGGATGGAGCCGCGCACCAGGTTCCCTGCTCCCTGCTTCTGCCTCTGCCACGCCGCCCGCACCCCCCCCCCCCCCCGCTTGTGCTTGTGTTCTCTGTCAAATAAATTAAAAAAAAAAAACAAAAAAACCTTTAACTATATACTTTGGCCCCAAATGGATCTAGGGGCAATTGCTCAATTTTCTTAAAGAAAAGCTAATGGCTTATTAATATCAGCTACCACAGTGATGGTTTTGAATACTCTCCTACCCAAGGGAAGATACTGTCTGGGTCAGGATTTCTAATCTGATTTTAGAAAGATATATAGGAATCATATAAGCATTTTCTTTTTACTTTTATGAGCAAAAGAGTTTCAATAAAAAGTGTCCATGCCCAAAACATTCAGGTTGCTCTGTCCTGAATCCATAAAGTGGATGAGTTAAGGGCAGGAATTACCAGTGAATAATGCCTCAAAGTTACCTGATTTTTGAAAGACTACTACACATCATTGGTTAGTACTGTGCAATTTTTAAGGTTCTTATTTATCCCCATTTATTAATAGAACAGTAGAAATTTTTAAGCAAGGATACTGGCTAGTCTTATTTCTAGAGGATAAATTCATTCAATACACATTTATTGTAAACGTAAACTCTATTCCCAATACTGAACCAGAACACGCACAGACTGTCAGGGCAGAATTCCCTGGGGGCGCAGACCCAACGCTGGGCCTGAGGCTCGGAGAGTAGCCAGTGAGGGGGCATTTACACGGAGGGCTGCCAACCTCACAGAGGCAATAAGAGCGGCCACTCCGGGTCCTCCCATTACCGGTATCCCTAAACTTCCTCTTTCAGCACTTCATCTCCTAGGCCAAAAGTTATCAACCTCTTCCCCAAACCCCCCACCCCAATCCTCTTCTGACTCATTCTATTTATTCTACCGAAGACATTTAACTTCACGTCACACTCCCATGGGTGTTTTAGGAGAGGCTGTGGGTTATCTAGGAGATGGTGAGGAGTCTCTGTGCAGTAGAGATTTTAATTTGCTGGTGCCCTTGGGTAGTTTACTCCTAAGACTGCTCGGACCTCTCTGCCTTCTAAGATGCCCCCACGCCCCATGGGAAACACACACATCCTTGTCACCATGAAGGCTGATCAGTCAGTCTGCTGCCTAAGCCGACGTCCAACCGAGGAAGGGACTACTGTCCCTGTCTTGCAGCACCCCTCCTGGCTCTAGGAGCCATTCTCTAGGAGCGCCCCCTCCCTGCCTGGGAGAACCTGTGTGCCAGAAGAAAGGAACAGCCTGGCTTTCTCACAAAGCCAGGGGTGACTACTCATTCTTCCCCCTTGTTCTCTAATGGGGGGAGGGTCTGCCTACCATTTGTCGGAGGCTCCCTGTGGAAACTAGTGGACATAGCATCACTTGTCCTCAGCTGGGGACAGCAGGGAGAACCCCATTCACCATCCTGCAATAGGACTTTCCCCTTAAGAATTCTGCCCCCTCTCTCCCACGTAATAAATGCAAATATGTGTTATTGTTTAAATACTTCTTATTTTTAAAGTGAGTCCTTCATGAGCTTCTATGTTTTAACTCATTAGTAACAGAATCACTTACGGTGCCACCTCACCAGATTTGAGAATTTCAAAGACACAGGGAAGTAGTTGCCAGGTCTGTAAAATTAAAATATAAATTAACAAAGTGGTGAGGGGGACAAAACAGTTCCACTTAAGTATATTAAAATAGCTGTTCGCCGCTTAAAAATATTTAAAGTACCATTAGTACCTTTTACCATGGCCATTATTTCATCAAAGGGCATTTTAGCAAAAAAGGAAGAACAATCTCAGAATGAAATGGTACTTCTTTATATCTCAAGAAAAACACGGTCAGTCTCTGAAAACTAAGGTTTTGGCATTATGGAGAAATAATGAATTACTTGCACCTTCCTCATCTCTCTGTTAACCAGTATAAACCTCATACAAGCAGCGTTCTGAGGACAGGTCTTAGCGCGGACTGGACCCTTTGGTTCTCTGTCCTCAGACGAAGGCTCAACTGGGAACTTTCCTTGAAACACTGACACTCATCCCAGAGCATCCCAAGCATCACACAGGAGCTCAGGAGGCCACGAGACCCTGTCCCAGATCAATCCAAGGTCACCCTGCAATTCCCAGAATGACCTTGTGCAAGAACAATGTGCTCCTTGAGGGTTCACCCTTGCATTTCGGACAAGTGTAGGTCTTTCTTTTGACCTTTGGCTGTCAAGCATCAAAGTTGCCCAATAAACAATGTGAGGGCTTATCCTCAGATTTAATTCATCTCGAAGCCTACTTAGAACTAAAAAGTCAGTCTGAACACAGTTTCCTAACAAACAGCTGCATACAATCTATGGAGCCTTGCTTTTGGATATAGGAGCAGGGAGGATAGAAAGCCCTTCACTTCAGCCCTGACACCAACGCCCAGCTTTTCATTTGTCAGTACAATGTTGACAGTTGATTTCACAATGGAAAAGACTTCCGATTTATAATCAGACTCCAGCCAAACCATCCATTCCTAGGCCTTTTAAAACGAGCTTGTAAATTACAGCAGCGAGGAGGAGAGAGTGAGCTGGCTCTGTTTAAATAACAGCAACAACCAGGAGGAAATAAAGCTTTTAGAAAGCATCTGGGCTTCCTTCAATGGCAGTTAGGAGAAATATGGATTAAATACTTTTTATAACTAGCAGCTGTAATTATCAGGGAAATCAGAGGCCGTGTGATCTCTGACACAGCTGTATGAGCCATTTTCATGCTGCAAGGTCCACTGAGGGAAAGAAGAATTTATCCTCCCCAAAACTACAATTTTATATTGGTAAATCAAGCATAAAATTGGTAGTTGAAATGCTTCCAAGAGTCTTTGTTTAGAAATACTTTTATTCATCTATATATTATCTCAGAGTCTAGCTTTTCTAACCACTATCATACCAGAAGCTAGAGTGTTGTTTGCCACCTTACTAGGACTGTCTTCAGAACGGACTGTTACCGAGTGCTTGTTGAGTGCTGTTAAAAATGGTGAGACCATAACTCAGCCTGATGAAACCATTACTGGGGTTAAATGACATTATTTGACTCAGACTTTTATTTGCCTTTCAGTAATGTCCAATGTTTGTCTCTTTAATTCAGGGATTATATCAACGTTTCTTCACGTCCATCCTTTTGGAGCCAACATAGAGTATCTCTGGTCATACATGCAGCAGCTGGACTCCAAGGTACACTCTTTTTCTCCAGGGGACTTGCATTGCTAAAATTTAGCATGTTGTTTTCCGGCTGTAGGTGGACCCCGCGTGAGCTGCATCGGGGATATAATGGCGTTTGAAGATTTATCAGTACTTCACAAGGACCTCCGTTTTGGGCAGATAGCTGTCTTCTTTTCACTTGCTTTTTTCTTTATAGAAATAAGAGCAGTTATCTAAAATGACAGTGACTTTCAGCAGATGCCAAATTACTCTGAAAAGCATATGAGGGACTGAAAATTACAGGTTGGCCTGAAAGTTCCCCAAAGAGGGAGAAATCAGGTCAGGGTGGCTAATGGGGCATTATCCTGAGACCATATTCTCACAGGATTCTATGGTAAGGACTCCACCTGATAGAGGGAAAATCACCTCAAATAACATAAAGATCTGATACGACTCTCAAGAAAACATATTAATGGTTGTTTTTCAGCATTATTCTCTAAATGGAAAAAATGACTGCAAAGTTATTCTCAGCGGTGCCCCCCAAGGGAGACACCCAGAGTCAGGACATCACTCTTCATTTCTCTGAGGCTCAGTTTGCCTTGTCTGCAAATTAGCTATGCTCCTAACCCATTGCAGTATTTGTATTCTAAAAGAGAAAGGACAAAAAGAGCTCAATGTGTGTATCAATTTATGTATCAAAATCCGGTGAACAATGAGAGGGGCCCTTCTTGAAATAAAGTCATGTCATTAAGCAGCATTGCTGGGGGAAACCTTGGAAGGGGATGGACACAGAAGCAGAGAACTGAAGCCTACCACTGAGTAGCTTGTTAAATGTCCTGCTGGGAGGGAAAATGGAAATAAGCTCTTGCATAGAGTGCAGCAAAGTACCTGGAATGTGTAGGACCAGGCCCCGGCCCACAGTTCTGTGACCCTGACTACACACCTACAAACCATTCTAAATCTTCAATGGCCAGTATCAATTAAATGACTACACTGTGCTCTCAGTTTGAGTCAAATGATCTTACCAATTCATGATCCCACAACTGCTTAACCTTTCTAATGGGTCTTATACTTCCCCTCTGAGAGAATCATCTGGAACAAAAAAGTATTTTTCAGTCACAGAGATTCATGCCCTTTTCTTCTCTTGCAGCTGGTAATAGGGTAGGCCAAAACAGAGTGAAGAGGAGATGAGGAGATTATAAGATTCTGGAAGTTCACGCTCGTGTCTTCTTTGTGGCCTCCCCTCACATGGACAGGGAGGGATAGAAAATGCTTATGTTAACTCAGATAAAATGAGAAGGATGAGCTATTCAATGTTACTTTGTTGAAATTAAGCTTTCTTAAAGGGCTTCTTTGTCTTTTACCCTCACCAATTTCATTAATATCAACCCTACCTTTGCCTGAAAGATGAAATACTGCTTTCACCAGTGTGGCGTGGCATAGAATGAGTCCTCAAGAAATTATTCCTATCGTTGCTATTATCCTTCCCTTGTATTGTTGACATTGCTTTCCTTCCCCTCCTAGAAATCCCAAGTGGGAAGCTTTTGTTGGGAAGCAATTGTTTTAGTATATACGTGAGTTTGTGTGTGTGTGTGTGTGTGTGTGTGTTGGGGGGGGGTGTAAAATCACCTGGTGGGGGTGATAGATAATGAATTATCTTGTTCTATTCTTAACCTCAGGACAGAGTGTCCATCATCCATTTGTTCAGGCAAAATTGTGTGGTCTCCCTCAGTAGTCTCTGAGGAGAGAATTCACACACCTGGTCCCTGGCCATAGATGATCGGCCTTTCTGGAAGGGATTCAGTTAAAGGGAATTCCATTTTATCTCAGACTGGTACTTTTATTTTAGAAGATAATGAAGAAAGCATTTCCTTCACAGAGGAAATACACAGGGTCTTCCCCAGACAGCCCTCTATCTCCTGAATGAAATGCTCAGTAGAGCTGTCAAATTGTTTCCTCATCCCTGAAGTAAAAATTATATAGAAAAAGTGCTCTAAAACTCCTAGGTGCCAGCAATTAGACCAAGTATTCTTTCTATCCCAGTGAGGCTGAAAGGATATTTAGACTTTTTAATCCAGAGACCAAATTATTGCTCTGTACTGGAATTCCATATCGCCAGGGCTTTAAGCAGCTTAGAAAACAAAGTAATGAGAGGTTTGCCCTTTAAGTACCCACCAGGGCCTTGTCCTTGTATCAGCTGCCAGAAGGCTCCGAATCCTGGAGCCACCAGCAGCCCACTGACGCTAAGGCTCTCCTGGTGCGCCTGCCTCTGGTTAATCAGAAGGAGGTGGGTGTCACCAGGACCCCCACCAAGTTTTGGTTAATGTTGCACAAAGGCTATGGATTCAGTTTAGCCTCCACGACACGGAGGTTTCGCTGATTCTAGTAGGATGGGTTTTTTAAAATTCCAGTTAGAACAGCACAGTTTGACATCAGACAACATCACCATTACGACAATTGTAAAATAACATTTAGATTCTGCCTACCCCAGTGCTGATGAGAGCAAGGAAAGCAGGCTCAATCAATTCAGCCTGTAATGAAGCTGATTTTATTAGGATTTCCCCAAAGGCCACATATGAGTATAAGAATGATTAGAAATGGAAGGAGAGCCAGGAATTAATTTAAATTATGCTGGGCATGTGAATTGCACATGGCTCCTAAAACTGTATAGCCCAGTAATAGGCCATTTTCCAGTTAAATATTATTCCTGCTCTTGATAATGATATTTGCATATTTTTCTCTTCTCAGCCTCTTCTAAACCACCACCTCTCGTTCACTTAGCCCTCTTGTAGCAGAATGTGATTATATGACCACATCACAAAGATTCACTCAGAGGAAGGCAGGAGAAGGGTGGTGGGGGGAGATGGCTTCCTAAAACTTTGCCGAGTCAAAAACTGTGCCCTGGGTGCAGGCAGGTAAGCTCTTCAAGACAGGCAGCACTATCCTGAAATGGTTTCCAATCAATACAGAGAACTCCCCCAGGTCAGCCCAGAGCCCTTCAAGCCTGACCCTGACCCTAAGCAGCAAGAAAGTCACATTGAGTTGAGCATTAGCAGATGAGTATTTCCTGTCCTACAGTCAAGAGGAGAGATTCTTCTGCTCTTCCCCCAATTTATGTATTCTTTAGGACTTAAGTTCTCCCAAGCGTGTCTGGCTGCCCCCTCTACATATGTATAGCCTCCTCCCAAGGCCCACCAAGTAGATTTGATTCTGAAAACCAGACTCAACATAATACGGCCGCTGATACTGGAGGATTTACAAAGACCTGCCATTTTGACATACCACCACTGTTCACTGACGGGCTTGGGTGCTCATAGGCATGTGTACATCTCCCACCAGAAGGGCAGGCCATTTGCATGTCTGTACTAAAAGCATACCACGGGAAACACAAAATTAAAATACCTGGTCAGTTCCAAGGAGATTCAAATTGGCCATAACTGGAGAGCATTCTTGCCTAGACTATAGTTAGGCAGTAAGGGTAGATGAAATGTTCTCAGTGGTGTTTGTAAGGTTCCCCCCCCTCCGAAAAATCTTCATTATTATGTATATTCCAGTGTTCTCCTAAATCGCCACCCATCATAATATGTTAATGAGTGAGTTTTCTGTTGCTTAGGCTATAATGAGTGTGTTTTTTAGATATGACAATACCTCTGGAAAGCACATGATAAATGAAGCATTGGAGGTAACAATACTTCCATTTGGCTACATAAAGAATAAAAAGGAAGTTGCTCACACACAGCAAGAGAAACTGACAAGGTTACCAGGGACCCAGTGAACACTGGGATAATTCACTGCTTTTCATGAACCCAGCACTGTCCTAGGGACCAGGGAAGAACAGGGGATGGCCAGAGCACAAAAGAAATCTAAGAAAGAACACCGCTCTCAAAAGGTTTGTAGTCTAATTCAGGAAATGCCAGAATATTTATGAAATAACTGGATAATCAGACATGAACTAATGAAGCGCTATTCCAGGCAGGCAGATCTTTAGTGGGACAGAAGTTGGAAAAGGGCGACGTTCACGTGAGCCCATGTTTACCAGGAGGTATCTCTGTGTGCTCACCCTCACACCCCCCCTGGGGCACTGTCGCCAACCTCCCCCTTCTCCCCTCCCTTCTCTCCTTCTCTCATTTTCCATCCAGATCCTTCTTTTTCTCCTTCTAATTCTTTCCTTCTGTTTATCTTCTTCCCCCTTTCTTTTCCTCCGTCCCTCCCTCCCTGTTCCTCTTCTTTCTAGTTCTTTCCTGTGGTCTTCGTAATTCCTCCACTGACATCTAGCTTCTTTCCTTATTCCTCCCTCCCTCCCTTCCCTTCTTTCCCCATCCATATTCCGCATTTCACTCTGCAAAAGTTTACTGTAAGGTGTCTGTGTGCTGATGCTATGTGGTGCCCAGGGAGACGAAGAATGAACAAGATTTAAATGTGCACTAAAAGCCAACAGTCAGTTTATCCTATGGAAGGAAATTTGGTTTTGCAATTGGCTTCTCGGACTCTCCAGCCTTGACAAAGCCTATGCCAGGTCTTTTCAGTGCCTCAAACAAGAACCCTCATCACTTGGCTTCTCTTGCCTGGCTGTATGGGACATGGAGCCAACCATCCCCGTAATAAAATTGATTTATATCTGCTGTGTCAATTTATATCCATGCTTAGAGGCCCGGCAAGGAGGCAGTGGGCTTGGGCTGGAGTCAGCAAATCAGAGGTAATTTATAAGATCTGCTTGATTTATTCTCTGCAGTGTTACCAGCACACAAGCTCCTTGGTTACGTGGAGCCTTTATTCCTTCTCATCTTTTTTTTTTTTTCTTAATTAGAACAAATCAATCCTTTCTAAAAGAATAGATGTCAGACTTAGAAAATGTTAAACAAAACAGGGGTGGCCAGGGATCCACGGACAACATCAAAGATTGAAAATACACAGACCACCCATTTCTTGAAACAACAGCCAGCTGAGTAAGCAGGTAATAAAAGCATCACATCTATGACAATCTTCCCCACTTTCTAGAGCATCAAATACGTGGTGTACGGTAAATGAGATTTTACAGGCACAGTGCATGTCTCTAACCTAGACGGCAATGCTGCACAGAAGTCTCTCAACTACATCTCTTAGATTCTGCTCACAGCACCCGTGTGCTGTGAAGGCAGGGCTGGATTTGGCATCGAAAGCCCTGCACCGAGTTCTAGCCCCTCCACTCACCCGCTGGGCGAGCACACCCTTCCCTGTCCCCCAGTGGCTTCCATCGAGGACAGACAGGCGCTTAGAGAGAAGCCCTGACCTCAGGATGGATTTGGGGAAGGGAACCCTGCACAGCTGATGACAGAATGGGTACGTCTCACTCTGAGCTCGGCCAGTAAGGTCCGGCTGCTTTGTTTTGTGAGCACTCCAGGATTCTTTCAGTTCTCAAAACCAAGAAATGATCAGTAGGAAGATAAAGGATATTGCCAAGGCAAAATTACAAGAGCTGACAAATTATTTAGGAGGAGGAGAAAACAGAATTAAAGTAAATGAAAATATTTGTCAAGTAAAAACTCTTTGGCCATAGGGTAAAACAAAAAAAAAAAGGATAAATTAAATTCTCTCTTTGTTTTGAAAATCCCAAAATGTGATATATCATCAAAGTTATTTTGTCAGGGTATATAGAGAAAGTTCTAAAAACCATCAAACTAACTTGAAAGCAACTTCTCCTTGATCTTTCTTCCGGCATGAGATACAAAACATCTTCAAGGAAATGCTCTAGAATTCATCTCAGAGCCTTATTAAAGGGAGATTTCAGACAGGACTTCATTTGAGGCGGTCTGTTCTATAATCGTGCCCCACCCCTGTCCACATTCAGGCGGTGACCTTGAAGCTTGAAGCCAACGGCAGCTTACTAGCGTTAACTACTTTTGAGGACATTCCTTGCCATTGTACTAATTTCTGGTTCTGTCAAAATCCGAGGAATGGCAATTGGTCATCCAAACTAAGTAACCATAAAAATTTCAAATCCCAGTCTCACTACTTACTTGTGGAACCTTGGGTGACATATTTAACATCTTTGTGCCTCAGTTTTACCCCCTGTAACATGGGTTTTTATGGATTATGTTGTGTATTAAAATGACTTACTATATGAACAGTACTCACAACAGTATCTGGCACACAGCAAGTGCTACTGAGTGTTGGTTGCCATTTGTTTTGTGCTTTATTTTATTAAGAGTTTTTTTTTTTTTTTAAGACTTTATTTGACAGAGAGGGAGACAGCGAGAGAGGGAACACAAGCAGGGGGAGTGGGAGAGGGAGAAGCAGGCTTCCCGCTGAGCAGGGAGCCCGATGCGGGGCTCGATCCCAGGACCCTGGGATCATGACCTGAGCCGAAGGCAGACGCCTAACAACTGAGCCCCCCAGGCGCCCCCGTTTTGTGCTTTAAAGTGCCATGAGGACTCAGGAAGGAGTGGCTCCCTCTCTCCTCCAGCATGCTACTCCAGCTTCCTCTGTGGTTCAAGCCTAGCCTCGGGTCAAAAGACATCACAGAAAACAAGATTCCCCATGATTTGCTTGCTGTTTTGGTGAAGAGTTGCTGTAGGGGCACCCAGGCATTGGCACTGGGATGTGTATGAGCTGGTCGAGTTGGGAACTCTGTTTGTTACTGATGTTGATATCGCTCTAAAGTCTTAGTCATCACAGACCTGCCCTCTAGTACACAGGCCCCGGCCCCCAACAGGGAGACAGTGACCAAGAGGACTACTTCCGGTGCTCAGTCCACAGTCCCCGGCCCCCTGTGGCATTTGGCGTCAGTGCTCAAAAATAAGGCCAAGGAGTCTGGATCTGCAGCCCAGCTCCACACTTAGTGCCTGGGTTACCTAATCTGTCTGGACCTCAGTTTCCTCATTTGTAAACTACTCCCTGTCTTATGAGAGTGTAGTGAGAACTAACATAAGTGTTTGCGAAAGTCTGGAGAGGACAAGGTTTTCCAGAACTCCCGAGCTGTCGCACTTCTTCACTTCGGGGCTGCTGGGCAGCACCGCCTGTCCTGACCCCAGCTGGTCTCCTGCATAGATAGGTGTCACCTTCACACCAGACCTTTGTTTTACCCTCAAGAATTTAGCTTCTCTCTCTCCTTCCTAAAGAGCACTACAAAGCTCCTTTCCCTACTTTGCCAAGGGAGCTGACGGTTATCCTGTAAACAAGCCTGGGATGGGCCGGCTGTTAACCTGGGGGTCTGGCAGCTTCTCTGTGGCTCTGCCTGATCAGGGGCAAGGGTGGCTCATCTCAGGAGTCTCACCTGAATTGACTGCAGACTGGAGCCCACCATAGACAGCCTGTGCTGTCTTTCTCCAAAGGAAGGAAAGGAGGTGAGGAGGATAACTTGGCTTCAGAAAACTGCCTTCTGGACCAAGTGAAAACTGGGTTTGACCACACACTTTTCTGTATTTGTTTGCTTTGGCTTAGGAGCGCAGAGCTGGACTCACCTATCACAAAAAGTTTGGTAACAGAGTGTCGTATTCTGTCAGCATTGCCTAGTGTGTATACAGAGAGAAAGCATCTCGTTCCAGGCACCATGTTACACTTTATGTATAATCCTCATGATTAGGCTGAGAGATTACAACATCTGTTATACACATGAAGAAACTGAGTTACAGCTGTTAAATGACCTGCCCATGGTTACACAGATTGGCCCTACCCAGATTAAAATCCAAGCCTGTCTGATTTAAAATCCCATTGTTAACCCAAATATGCCTGATCTTAAGAATTACCTGGGGTGATTATCAAAAATAGAGTATATGAGCTACACCCCAGATCAGCTGAATCAGTCTCCAGAGAAGAGGCTAGGGAATCTGAGTTTTTTTAACAGGAACCCCAGGTGATTGATATTTTGAAAGTAAGCACTACATTCCTGGTTCTTCACCCACGGCTTGCTGAAATCATGCGGAGCACGTAAAACACACCAATGCCTAGTTCCCAGGCACAAGCAGTGGGTTCTTTCCCAGTTCTGTCTTTGAAAAGGCACTTAACTCTCTGTAGTTCACTCTGTTTTCTTAGCTATAAAACGAAGATACATCTTAACATTTTTGACACATGTATCTAATAGGAGTGTTGTGACAATGGAATTAGGATGCTGGTGAAGGCATTCTGCACAGTGCTCACTGAAATGAAATGTTTCAAAATCACATGAACCTTTAAAGCATCTGTTTAATAGGCTTTTGTGGGCTGACCTGGCAATCTAATAATCCTTTTAACATGGCTTTGTAGGAAAATGCATTCAGATTTCAAAATAATTCACACAAAAATTTTAGAATGCAATTTATTTCAACTGCCTCGAAAGGGTTTTTTTTTTTTTTTTTGAAATATTGAATATATCATGTGAATGGATATTGAATATATCACGTGAAATCTTTTCCATGTGAACGTTACATGAAAAGCTGATTTGACTTCTTGGTCTTTTGGTCTCTCTTTAAAATAAATGTTAAATAAGTTTAACATTTAAATGTTAAATGGAAAGTGCAGACTCTAAAATGATATCTATCCAGTGATTGTACCATGAAAAATAGTAATAGGTCTGATTCATTAAACCTTTCTATGTGCCAAATCTATGCTAAGCCAGTAGTCTTTATACATCCTTATTACACTTTGTTATTCCCATTTGCTGAGGATTAGAGAGACTAATTATCTTGGTTGGAGTCATTTAGCTCATAGCAATAGTAGATACAGGATTCAAACAAAAATGTTAGCCCTCTGGTTCCAGGGTCTTAGCCACCTTGCTATAGGAGATCCCTATGCAAGCACATGGGCTGGGAAACAAAGACAGGAAAATGAGAACAATGGCTGTGTTAGAGCAGAAGGATTATGGTTGATTTGTCCTTTATTTAAGGTAAAATGAATTATTGGCATAAAAATGTATGTAATAGAGAAAAATAGGTAGAAGAAAAAAAAACTACATTAAAAATCTACCTGGGGGGGGGGTGCCTGGGTGGCTCAGTCAGTTAAGCATCTGCCTTTGGCTGGGGTCATGACCCCAGGGTGCTGGGATTGAGTCCCATGTTGAGCTCCCTGCTCAGTGGAGAGCCTGCTTCTCCCTCTGTTCCCGGCTCAGTGCTCTCTCTTGCTATCTGTGTCTGTCCCTCTCTCTCCAATAAGTAGATAAAATCTTTTTTAAAAGTTTTTTTTAATTTAGAAAAAGAAAAAACTACCTGGAAGGGTGCCTGGCTGGCTCAATCGGAAAAGCATGCAAATCTTGATCTCAGGGTCCTGAGTTCGAGCCCTATATGTGGTGTAGAGATTACTTAAACAAATAAAACTTAAAAAAGAAAAAAAAAACTACCTGGATTTTAAGAATGGATGTTGAGATTTTCATGGTTGTTGGTTCTGGGTTTTCATTTCATTCTAAACCTTTATGGTCTTCTGGTCTCTGTGAAAATTAAAGAAAGAGAAGTTAGGGTGGCCGGAAATCTACCCATATGCCCTTTGGCCCTCACTGAGTGAGATACAAGCACTGCCCTTAGTCGAAGAGGATGAGGGCACCCGGAGTGGTGATGAACTTGCACTCAGCCCTCTTAAATCCCATTCTCATCTCCTTTTATATCAAGGTGGGGAGGGCTGTTCACACAAGGCACTACCCAGTAAGCCAGCCATCCAAAGGAAGGTGAGCCTGGGATTCGCGCCCCTCTGTCTCCTACCTGCCCAGCCCCACCGGCTGCTCGAGACCAGGACAGTCACTTCCAGTGCTTGACCAGCGCTCCTCTCCTCAGCACGTTACTTGACAGCCAAGTAGTGTCATTTATCTCCCTGGAAAAGTGCATCCTTGCCCAACCCCTTGCCTCCTTGCAGACGAGTCTTGTTCCCAAAAGTGACTTTTCTTCCTTTCTAACAGATATCTGCAAACGAAATCGAAATGCTTCTGATGAGGCTGCCACGCATGTTTAAACAGGAATTCACAGGCGTGGGAGCAACGTTGGAAAAAAGGTGGAAGCTGTGTGCCTTTGAAGGAATTAAAACGACTTAACTGTGAAGAGCCAGCAAGTCTCTGGAGACGAAACCACCTGAGTGGGCCAGGGCTGTGCAGCGTGAGCACTGGAAGCTGGGGTTGGTCCGGCCTGGGGCCCCTGTGGAGCCATCGGGGCCTGACTTCAGTTACATCTGTGGTGTTCTCCTGTGAGTGGAAATGTGATTGTGTACCAGTTCCCTAAAACAAAGCTTCATACTGTGACAGGTCTGTTTCCTATGAACACCAACGATTCCACAGTCATAATGATGGCAAAATTTTAAAATATGCTACATTTGAGAATAGCTCACCCAGCAAAATATTTACAGTTCATGACGGTGTAGCAATGGTCGTCGCTAGGCTACGGAGTTGTATATGTAATGTATAGCTGAAATCAATCAATGACATTTTCCTGAAAGCCCTTCTGTTTTAGTAAAAAAATAAATAAAAACAAAAATAAAAAGTAATTTTAGAGTGAGGAAAAATCATACCAAAAGAAAACTTGAATATGTGTCTGAACATTTATTGTATTTTGTAAATTAAGTTATATGCTATTCCAGGGACTTTTTGCCTTATTGAAGAGGCAGAAAAGATTGGACTCCTTGGACTCCTTGAGAATGCTTTATCAAGAATATTATTTTTCTAATGTAACAATTCTCCATCATAAGTTCTTTTAACATGGACTGCATAACGATTTTCATAAAATGTAAATAAAGGCAAAGCTAGTGCTACTGTCTTGTACTTGGTATGTAATATTCAGGTTTATGCATCAAAATAAACATTCAGTAAATACTCCTGTTATAAATTTTATAGCAAAGATATTAATTTTTTTCAATAAATATGACTTCTGCCATAAAGGTTTTGCAAATTATTCTTTGATATACCTTACTTCACCTTTAAGAAGTATTCTTCACATTATTCAGTCCCATCCCATATCCCACCATTTTCAAATGATTGTCTACATGAATGACATTGAGACAAAATATTATTTCAAACAGAAATCTATAAAAACTAAAGTGGGAAGTACCAAGAAAAGGGGATTATACAGCACTAGGGTATATATCATTTTAAAATACCAACACCTTGGGATGCCTGGGTGGCTCAGTCGGTTAAGCGTCTGCCTTCAGCTCAGGTCATGATCCCAGGGTCCTGGGATTGAGTCCCGCATCAGGCTCCCTGCTCTGCGGGGAGCCTGCTTCTCCCTCTGCCTCTGCCTCTGCCTCTCTCTCTCTCTCTCTCTCTCTCTCATGAATAAATAAATAAAATCTTTTAAAAATAAAAATAAATAAAATAAATAAAATACCAACACCTCAATCCAAATACAATCAACATAAATATTACCTTTGTTTTTTGTCTGCATAGGCAAGTACAAAATAGTCCATTAGTTATATTAATTCCTGGATTTATTTATTTGTATGTATGCTGGAAAACATACAAGTTAGAAAAGGAATTAAAGAATTCACACTTGAGCCAACAATTTAGTCAGAATTTGGGCTTTCACTATTTCTTTTAATTACAAGTAGGATAGAACTTTGAACTGTATCTCCTTCCTGCTTTCTTATATAAGAATCACAAAAAAGACAAGTATTCAAGATATTAAATTTAAATGAAACATTTTTTAGGATGACTGCTGAACAGTGAATCTTCTTCAAAATTCTGAAAAGATGTTTATAATTTCCTATGTAATAGGAAATTATTGTCTTCAGGATCTTTTTATTGAGCCCTGATAAATTAAGGTACTTATTCATGCCTCCCATAAATATCTGCATGTTTTGTTCAGGCTCAGTGCTAATCCTGCAAACATGGAGATGAATAAGAAAAGACGCTGTCCTTAATGGGCTCAGAGTTCAATAGGTAAAAGACATTTTCCCCCAAGTTTCTATATAATGTGAACCAAGGGACAGGAAAGATAGAACAAGGGTGCTATGGAATTCAAACTAAATGTGAATATCATACTAGATACTGAAGCACTAGAGGCCTCTCCAACACCATCTTATCAATTCCTACCACCATCATCATCCTGACATACTTATCTCTAGGTCAGGAGACACAAATAAGGATACAACCATCAGAAAGGAGATGACCTCATTTACAAATAATGTCATCATCAAACAGAAAACCTAAGAGGTTCGCCTGAAGAATAATTAGAAGAAAAAGATTTCCGTAAACTGGCTAAAGACAGAAAGTCTAGTAGGGACACAAGGTACCACAATCTAGACTATTTCTAATGGAAAGCATGGGAGAGGTTTTCAAAGTACATTCACACTTTCAAGTATTGCCCGTAGCCACCTTAGCAGAATACACTTCACAGAGTAAAACCCTAACTCAGAGCTCCCATCAGGAAAAGGAATTAGACGGACCTTAGATTAGATCTGACGAGAAAACACCATTTCCTAAACACATGGTTTTGAGCCCGGAATGGCAACATACAGGACTGAAATGGTTAACACAGCTTCCAAAATATTTGAGTAATTCCCAGAGATAAGTTTCTGCACCAGGAGAATCTATTTTGGCTGTGGTGTTTTCACTGATACTTGAAATTCATTATATTAATTGCCTAGAAATACATGATTTATATATTTTAACTTCAATTACGTGAATAACTTATATTTGCAGGAAAAAACTTTTAAATTATTTTACAGACATTCAGATTCAGAAGGTACCCTAGGGATCACCTAGGGCCATCTGGAGTCTACGTATGTGTGTCACCCCATTCTCTTGAATCCTCAGGACAATCCTACATAAAGACACTATTATCCCCATTTGTCACACAAGGAGAATGAGGCTCAGCAGTTCTAAGTTGGCCAAGTCTACACAGTAAATGTTGATTACAGGATTTTAACCCATGGCTGACTGACTCCAAACATGTTCTTCTCACTATGTCATGTTTCTAGTTCAATGTATTCCCACCCCTCCCAGGAGCCCAGTGCCCATCCAGTGCTTCTGGATCACTGCTATTGCTCTTTTTCTCCGCTATCCCATGTACGAGTATGGGTGTGAAGACTCTAGCCTTTCTCTTCCAAATCTACCAGTAACAAATCATGGACTCTTAGAATAAGCAGAACATTGAAAGTTTGGAGATCCTCATAACCTGGCCCCAGTGGGCCTTTCGGGCTTGCTTTTTCGCTGCCTCCCTGAATAGGACTAAGTATTTGCTGCCTTTCTGCTTTTGCTCATACCTTTCTATCCAAATAAAATGACCTTACTCATATCTACTTACCACAATTCTACAGAGCCTTAAGGGAAAAGTGCAAACACACCCCTCCAAAAAAGCTTTGCTCCATCGCCCCCAAAGTCACTTCTCCAGCCTCCGCACAGCAATCCCACACTGTTGTTTTTGTTTTGTTTTTGGTTTTTTTTAGTTTTTTTAATTAACATATAATGTATTATTTGTTTCAGGGGTACAGGTCTGTGGTTCATCAGTCTTACACAATTCACAGTGCTCACCATAGCACATACCTTCTCCAATGTCCATCACCCAGCCACCCCATCCCTCCCACCCCCCACCACTCCAGCAACCCTCAGTTTGTTTCCTGAGATGGAGTCTCTCATGGTTTGTCTCCCTCTCTGATTTCATCTTGTTTCATTTTTCCCTCCCCTCCCCTATGATCCTCTGTCTTGTTTCTCAAATTCCTCATATCAGTGAGATCATGTGATACTTATCTATCTCTGATTGACTTTTTTGCTTAGCATAATACCCTCTAGTTCCATCCACGTTGTTGCAAATGGCAAGATTTCATTTTTTGATGGCTGTGTAATATTCCATTGTATATATGTACCACATCTTCTTTATCCATTCATCTGTCGATGGACATCTTGGCTCTTTCCATAGTTTGGCTATTGTGGACATTGCTGCTATAAACATCGGGATGCACGTACCCGTTTGGATCCCTACATTTGTATCTTTGGGGTAAATACCAGTAGTGCAATTGCTGGGTCATAGGGTAGCTTTATTTTCAACTTTTTGAGGAACCTCCATACTGTTTTCCAGAGTGGCTGCACCAGCTTGCAGTCCCACCAACAGCGTAAGAGGATTCCCCTTTCTCCGCATCCTCGCCAACATCTGTCGTTTCCTGACTTGTTAATTTTAGCCATTCTGACTGGTGTGAGGTGGTATCTCATTGAGGTTTTGATTTGGATTTCCATGATGCCGAGTGATGTTGAGCACTTTTTCATGTCTGTGGGCCATTTGGATGTCTTCTTTGCAGAAATGTCTGTTCATGTCTTCTGCCCATTTCTTGATTGGATTACTTGTTCTTTGGGTGTTGAGTTTGATAAGTTCTTTATAGATTTTGGATACTAGCCCTTTATCTGATATGTCATTTGCAAATATCTTCTCCCATTCTGTCAGTTGTCTTTTGGTTTTGTTGACTGTTTCCTTTGCTGTGCAAAAGCTTTTTATCTTGATGAAGTCCCAATAGTTCATTTTTTGCCCTTGTTTCCCTTGCCTTTGGCGATGTTTCTAGGAAGACGTTGCTGCAGCTGAGGTCAAAGAGGTTGCACCTTAGTTCTCCTCAAAGATTTTGATGGATTCCTATCTCACAATTAGGTCTTTCATCAATTTTGAGTCTATTTTTATGTGTGGTGTAAGGAAATGGTCTAGGTTCATTTTTCTGCATGTGACTGTCCAATTTTCCCACCACTATTTGTTGAAGAGACGGTCTTTTTTCCATTGGACATTCTTTCCTGCTTTGTCAAAGATTAGTTGACCATAGAGTTGAGGGTCCATTTCTGGGCTCTCTATTCTGTTCCACTGATCTATGTGTCTGTTTTTGTGCCAGTACCATACTGTCTTAATGATGACAGCTTTGTAATAGAGCTTGAAGTCCAGAATTGTGATGCCACCAGTTTTGCTTTTCTTTTTCAACATTCCTCTGGCTATTAGGGGTCTTTTCTGGTTCCATACAAATTTTAGGATTATTTGTTCCATTTCTTTGGAAAAAGTGGTTGGTATTTTGATAGGGATTGCATTAAATGTGTAGACTGCTCTAGGTAGCATAGACATTTTCACAATATTTGTTCTTCCAATCCATGAGCATGGAATGTTTTTCCATTTCTTTGTGTCTTCCTCAATTTCTTTCATGAGTATTCTATAGTTTTCTGAGTACAGATCCTTTGCCTCTTTGGTTAGATTTAGTCCCAGGTATTTTATGGTTTTGGGTGCAATTGTAAATGGGATCAACTCCTTCATTTCTCTTTCTTCTGTCTTGTTGGTGTATAGAAATGCAACTGATATCTGTGCATTGATTTTATATCCTGCCACTTTACTGAATTCCTCTTATGAGCTCTAGCAGTTTTGGGGTGGAGTCTTTTCGGTTTTCCACACAGAGTATCATATCATCTGCAAAGAGTGAGAGTTTGACTTCTTCTTTGCCAATTCGGATGTCTTTTATTTTTGTTGTCTGATTGCTAAGGCTAGGACTTCTAGTACTATGTTGAATAGCA